ACCTTTCATTTTGAACAACCTAATGATTATCTTCTTGCCATATAGGACAAAACAGATTACTGAGAATAGCTTTACACTTTGAACATTTTGAGCAAAAGAAGTGTGATTTCGTGTAACTTGTGTATGCGAAAATGGGCTTATTAATTCCAATAAAAAACTTCATTCTATCTTTGGTTGAATTATTCCGAGACCAGAATTTTCATTTTTTATTACGACCATTGTCATACGTCACATAATTTAGACTGATAGATTGTAGGGTCCCTACGAAATTATTTTCGAAACAGATTTTGATCATAGTCGCAAATCTTTGGAATTTTAATGATAAGGAAATATTATTAAAGCAATAGGGTGGACTGGTAGAGCGAGGCTTAAAGTTCCGCGCGAAAAATGTTCATCACTGATATTTCAAAAACAAGTAAATTTAAGATTTAGAGGGAAAAGATGATATATCAGCCATCACCTTGATTTTCACGATGTTGCTATTGAAAGATAAACGGTAATGTTTGAAAATCCATAACAAAAAAATTTAATTTTGTTCTTAGTTTTTTTGGTTGTGAGCACTGTTGTTTTGGTAACGAGACCTTAATACAAATTTTTATTTTATTGTTTTATAAGATGTGTTGTTAATTTCAAGTTAGATTCAACAGCTTTTTTTATATAACCTCTATAAAAACTTACATGTGGATGGTGTAAAAAGGACCAATTGAACATTTATGCCGACAAGGGCCGGAACAATAAAACATATGAAAAAGATAAAAAAGCCATTTTACAAGAAATAATTTAAATAAAACAATATTTCACCTCTGCTGATGAATATTGCTGACGAAATTAAAAATAAGATATTGGACCTGTTTGCCACCTGGTCGTTCCATTTTACCCCGCCTATGCGGTAAAAAGGAGCAGGTGACAAATTTTTCAAAAACAGCAAAAAACACATTTCTATAATTATGAACTAGCTGTTATACTGAACATAGTCTGATGGTTGTTTGTTTGATATGTGTTATTTGTTGTGATATAATTGGTTTGGTTTTCACAATATAATTGCTCAAATTCAAATTGGTCCTTTTTTACCCATCTTACACTATTATAATATTGCTAAAATTTTCTGCGAACAATATCAATTGTAAGTGGACTTACAATTTTGATTTATTTAATAAATTCATCTACCATTATTTGGCAAAACTTGAAGTTACAGCCTCTTCATTTGCTCATGAACCTTGCCATATAACAGTTTTTGTAATATGAATTCGTTCCTCTAATTAAATATTTAATAGCAAGGCATTGCCATCCATAAAACTCGGTTACTATTGCAGGAACACTTTGTGTGTACACTAAGAATTATGTCATTTATCGTATGTAACATGCTTGTTCAGGTTGCTCTTCCTATTTTACTGCTCGGTGTTTATGTGTATATAGCCCTGCCTGCAAAGGCTTGATTGATCTAATTAAAATATCAAAGTTATCTTGATGTAATGGCGTGTATTTTATTACAATGTATCATGTAACATCAAAATACTTGTTGTTCTTCGGCCTTATGCTTTGCTCTTGTAATCTTGTACTGGACGTTATGAATAGAGTAATCTCATTGCGTAATCTTATTCATCCATGAAAGCTTTTGCTTAGCAGCAGGATGGTAGTATATTCTTGGGGTACGGTGTTACTGCATGGCTATCATGGAATTGGAAACATTTTTACGGTTTAATCTGAATTTGAGAAAATTTTAAGTACCATACACCATCTAATTGTTATAAATTTTTTTATAACAATTAGATTGTGTATGGATTTCATGGAGTATTAATATTGGAATATGTATATCAATAAAATTGTTATGTTATGTTTCAATCGATGAAAATGTCATACAAAAATTAGTTTCCAATTGTTATGCGTTTGTTTAATGAAATATTTGTGTTTTGATTACCTATATGTAAATTTATATAAATAAGCACCAGTTACTTTTACAATTTTTGAATTATTTATTAGGGCTTTTATTGTTTTATTTATTTATTTATTTATTTATTCATAAGCAAGTCGTAATCATTAATAATAAATATTATTTCAGGCTCTTTTAAAGCTTATTCATTATTAATACTAAAAGGAAATTAATTTTATAATATTCATAGTAGCTGCAAGATTTTCGCTTTTCAAAAAAGAGCTGAAAAAAGCCTGAAAAAATTTAAAATATTTAATAGTTAAAATCAGCATCCAGCCTATTTCTTAAGTCATTATCAATCATTTTATATAATGTTACTAATTTATGCGATTTTAATAAGTTCAATCATGATCGATGTTTCCTGATATTAGATTGTATTTTTCTCATGGCTTATATTGTGAGCGCAACTATTTTATCAAGGATATTGTTTTATTTTTATTTGCATATGCAATTACATTCTAATAGTACTTAATTATTCTTTTCTGGCAATTCATATAGCACTGTAAATTGATTTACAATATTAAATAGATCACAGTTCTAACAATCCATGATGTAAAAATGTGCAATACACTATTTTCGTTGACACAAATATAGAGGCACATTTATATGGAGTAAAATTAAAGTATTGTGATGAAAAAGGTTCGATAAGCTATAATAAGTTTTAATGTTGCTTTTTCTGCTTAGATCTCTGGTCTAGTCTAGAAATAACATAATTTAATTATTTTGGTTTTTTTATTTCTATTTTTATTTCTATTTTTGCTTATGATTGAACATTTTAAATCATACAATTTGTTATTTTATTGTAACATGAGTCGGAAAAGAGTAATCGTTAAAAAACTGATTTTTTATGCTATTTTTCCAATATGGCGGCGGCAACGTCAAAAATTCAAAGTCGCAAAGTTGAAATTCGTATAGATCACATCAAAATCTATAAAATCACCAATTTTCAAAACTTCTAAAAACTTTTAAGGTAACAGCTTGTTTTCGCACCAAATGGCTAATTGCATGTGGCATGATAAAGATCATTGTATATAAATCCTTCAAACCATCAGTGAATAATACACGAAGAAAAATTCAATATTCTGTCAAAACGATTTGACGGTCTCGAATATTTGATAGACACTATATTTTTGGAACCTCTGTCTTTCCAACATATTACAAATTATAACGAAGTTAATGTCATAAAATCATGTACAATTTTTTTCCAATCTGGTAATAAGAACACATCCTAATCTTTTCCGAATGTTTTGTGTATAACAAATCCGCGCTTGATTATGAATTTAAAGTGAAGATTTCAATTTAAGACTTTTGAATATCGAAACATAACTAATTGTTCGCCAACATGGTTATTTATACGAAAATATTATTATTTTCTAGTTTCATACGAAATCGATGAAAAAGAAATATTTTTCGTAGAAATAAACTAGCCATTCTGTTGGTATGAAAATTAATTATTCGCTAGCACTCACAAACAACGAAAAGTTAATGAAAGTTATGTAATCAAAAATTAAAGAGAATATTGAGCAAGCTTTAATTAAATTTCAGTAATGCTATTTAATCACCGAGTCTGGTTTACTACTTCTGCTCGAACTCGGCTGCTCGCGTGTTTGTCGGCGGGCGGGCTTCAGGCAAATAATGTTTTGTTTCCCTGAAAATTTGTTTAATGATGCCGCCCCATATGAGAATGTTTGTTGACATTGCGAACATGAAAACCAGGTACACACATATCGTGCTGCACAATGGGCGCTTTTTGAATTCAGTGCATCGTTGCCGATTTGGAATTTTCAATGTATTTCCTACTCTCATAATAGAGATGAATTATTTAATGCGGTTTAAATCGCTGATAATAGTATTTAAAATATTCTATTTCCATACCTGTAATCCGAATGCTGTGGATGCTAATGAAAACTATGGCGACAAATTAAATGTTTCGAAAACATTTTATAACTTTAATTAATGCGTAAATTATTTTAATATTTTTAATATAACTACACCAAATCTCTGTATACATATTGCATGAAAAAAGCCATTGATTAAATCAGCCACTGGCAATAAGAATTAATTTGGCCAATAGTTCTGTTCTTGTTTAAACTCAGTTCTATGTAGTTATATATAATTTTAAAATTTCTATGGAATTATTTTGTATATAATAGGAAAAAAAATCGAATCACAAAAATAAAATGGACTGACGCAAAATTTTGTTGATTTTTCATTCTCAAATTAAATACAATTTTGAACTACCTTGTAAAATACTTGGACCAAGATACTTTGAATTATTATACTCAGCTTATAGTTTTTATTTATAGCATTTTATCTTATTATTGATAATATCTATTGTGAATAATCAAGTTAATTTTTACATTAAATAGTATAATATTGGACGAGGATTTATTGAATCCAGTATATGTTCTCTGTGTATATGTTTCGTTTTTTTGTGCACTTGCAAGTCCAAGAATTGTTCAGATATTTCAAGAAAGTGTTTATATTTTAGAAGATATTTAAAAAAAATCAGTTTATAATTGTCATATCAAATGCTCTATTGAGGAGGAGACTTTACATTCCTCCGAGCCGTTGTGGGTAAATAAATCGATCACTCAAACTATTTATTCATCTGGTTATATCTTTCAAACTTCGTATTTTTCTTTTTGTATCAATTAAAAAATCATTAATATAATATCCAACTTTGTGGATACTTTATTTGCTTCGTAATAATGCTTCCAGAGATATTCGTAACATCGCGCGTTATAAGAATAGAAATGATTTTTATTGAATAATATATAAAATTATATAATGTTTTTTTAGGCCAGGTATTATGTGGCCATAAAATTTCACCTCAAACAACAACAAATGAAGCTTTTATAAATTTATAGTCTATATAATTATTGTGTACTCCAAATAGATGAGTATGAGATGATATTCACATACGAGGTTGATCTTATGGACGACAGTGATCTAATAATTTACAACAAAACTGCCTTAAGCTGTGCATATTTTTTTATAAATTATTACTAGAAAAATATTATATTGTTACATTCAATTTTGTCTATAATTCGTTTTATTATTATTTCAGCTGAACTAGGCGATTATGATCCAAGACGTCATTCACCAGGTTATGTTTCCGAATTTCGATTTCTATCGAATCAAACTCAAGAGTTGGAGACGAGGATTGCTGAACTTCACAAATCACTGGCGTAAGTACAAAAACACCATATTTATTATTTTTATTTTTCATCCATTTTTAGTCAAATTGTTGAAATTTCTACATCTTTACACTATTCAGAAACAATGCGGAAATTTTATTTTGTTCTCAAACTCAATTTGATTTTGTTTTAACCAGCTCAGATACGAAGCCTGAGCTGGTTGAGGACTGACTACTATTAAATTTATAATTGTCATCTCAATAATTCATGTTATTAGTAGTCACTCTTGAACCAGCTCAGGCTCCTTGACCGCGGTCTCTAGCTTGGCCTTCATTTCCTTCTAAATACTTTTAATTTTTATCCCAATTATTTATGTGACATGTATGTATGTGTGAGTATATATATTTGGGATATACCTTTTCTGCGACTAAATAACATGAAGAAAGCCGTAATTACGATCCGCTGTTGAGCGTCAGATGTTGAGCGTCATTGTCATAGTCTTGTCTTATTGTTAGTTATCAGTTCAAACGGGTATCGCGCCTTCTGAAGATTATTTTGAGGGTGGTTTTGTCGTGTTTTTGTATATGTATAATTATTTCTATTGAAATCTAAAAACTTATAACTACAACTATGCAGAATTTTGATCATTTATTCATTTTTGTTTACTTTCGCATAAAATGGCATACTTATACAACGTATAAAATGACAAATTGAAACCTGTAAAAAGTGATTGGCTGCAAACTTTTATTCTAACTACTTTTCAAACAAAATAGACCAAATGATCGACTGATACAAAATGATACTTGCATTTATTGCAAAGACCTCTTGTCACATTCTGAGCCCGGCGAAGGTTAATTATGATGTATGTATTTGGGCCGTGATGATGTATTTGTTCCCTCAGTATGTCCTTACCATGTCATTTTGCCCGTGCTGTGTGGTCAAAATGGTTTTTGTAATAAGTTGCATTTTTTCTTAATAATCAATGTATCTAAGATGGAGAAAAACGATTGAGACTGTTATCATTAAAAACAAAACTCTATATCATTTTGTCCATACTTTGCATACATATTGTCTATACTGATTGCTGTTTATATGAATAAATGATTAAAAACTGGATGATTTGGATTATCTTTGACTGGACTAATTAAAATATCTGCCATTATTGGAGTAAAGCACGTCTTTACATAAGCGAGCTCTTTGTTCTTCTTTATACTTTTATATATATATATATATATATATTTGCTGAAATTTTGTAGATCATTTTCTGACAAATGTAAATGGTATTATTAAAGCTATACTATGAGTCTGTAAAATAATAGTCGAAACAGTAAATTCGAAATTTCACATGCCTTATTATGCAGTCAAGTCCTAATCTAGTTTTTCATCTTGCGCCATAAAAACATGACTTATCATTAAGAAAGGTATGAAAGCGGAAAACGCGATAAAACGTGAATTTAAAGCAGCTGTATTTTTTACGTTTTAAATGTTTTGTTTTTAATTATCGCGCTGACCTGGCTTTTAAATCTCTAATTAGTTTCGACATAGACTCTAAACCCAGAAAAATATCTCTTTTAATATCATGATTAAAAATTTTATGTATGTTGTTTTCAACGGATGAGATTATAGCATATGCAAATGCTACATAACAAAATCGTAAAAATATGTATGCCATATATAAAATATTAACTTCTTCTTTCATTTCTCAGTTTTCTTCAGCTGTGTTAATGATCAATATTTGTTTGTAATAAAATAAATAGAGTTCTTAAACGGCAATTAGGAACACGGCTGTGTGTAATAACAATTTGTAGAAAAACTCAACATTTGTGTAAACAAACAAGTTTTTCGAATCGCAATTTGTGGTATTAAGTTAATTTTATTTACTACAAGCTTACTATTCCATGCAGTTAATGTTTTACTTGAATTTTGTTTGAAAATTAAACAGGTGCATTGCAGATACCTTTAGATTAATTACGGATATTTGCTCACTAAATACAAGTGCTTTGAAATTGCTTTCATCAGTTCTTGATTTGAATATGAATTCAATATTGATCTTCTTGTGCTACATTGAAATTCATTGAAATCCATTGCAGTTGCTTACATATATCACAAATTCAAATGGCATATATGTCCAGGTTTCACTGAAAATGACATCTTTAACCAGTTAACTGTGATTGACTCAAGATTGAAAAGATATATTTCAATCTAAAATGTATACTACATAAAGGTGGGTTAGTACATGAGTTATCAACCTTTGAGTATTATACTTCTTTATTAGATATTTTACATCAATACATTTATATGTAATATAAAAAAGAACATTTTAGCTTCACTCTGACAACCAAAACTGTTTGCAGAGCTCAATGAGAGCGTGACAATTAACTGGTTAAATTGAATCCTATCAAATTTATAAAATTATCTTGTACGATACTTAAAATACTACTTATACTATGAAATTATATAGACGACATTTATCCCATAAATTTGTTTAAAAAAATAATTATTTATCAAATCTTATAAAAATGTACCTTGCAAATAAATTGCATTTATTGAAAGAATGAGAAGCTTATAGCATATTTAATATTTTCTTTCTTCTATAATTCGGTTTTTGTTTTTCTATAAAAATTTTCATTACATGTAATTATTAGAAGAATATAATATATGTTCTAGCCTTTCATAAATTAATTATCTCACATATTTTTCTTTTTGAGCTTTCAGCAAGATTTGATAGAAATTTCAGCACTAGTTTTTTAAACTCTTTTAATAGCCTCAAGTATTAGCCCTTTTGCCCTTCTAAGCATATTCTAAGGTTTGTTGCTGACCTAAGCATATTATCGTTATCAAATCATTAACTTTTTGGCAATCTCAATATTCTAAAGCACAGATTTCAGAATTATAGAGCTTACATGGCCATTTTTTAAATTCCCGAAGGAGTAGTTTATGTTTTCATAAACAAATTCGATTTGCTAATTTTATTCTCAAAAACGGCTGGACCGAAAATTTAAAAGCCATTTGATGTATCTCGATGAGGATTATCGTTTCTCAGTTTTGTGCGACAATCGGCTGAGCCGTTTCTTTGTAATTTGGAATAAATAAACTTTTCGTCTACATTCAAGATCATACTACCGAATAGATTTAAAAAATCAAAAACTGTTCGAAAGATATTAGTTGGAAATGATACTGAATAGTTTTAGGTGAAAATCTACCGAGCCGTTTTCTTGCAATTAACTGTTGAAAAAAAATTAAACCGATTTTTATGGAACTTTTTTGGCAATATATATCATGGTCTTTTAGAACTTACTGAAATATTATGGCCTTACGACAAGTAGTTTAATTTTAAAAATCATCAAAGTTTGAGAAAATGAGTAGTTTTTTGACGTTTGTTAAAATTAAAATTAGACTATTTATGTGGTACAATGATAAAGTACCTGGTTTTAATAAACATACTAAACCATTAAACTTCTACGGAAACTGGTTCAATTATAAAAATTGTTGATTTTTGAAAATTTGCTTCTAGAAAATATTTCGAGTTAACGTGTTCGTTCGTTTGCAATGATGTGTAATAAATCCACTCGGAATACTTTTAATCACTCATAAATTAATTTATTTTTAATTGATTAAGTCGATTATTTCACATATCGAGAAGTTCATGTAACTTGCCTCAAGGTAAAATACCAACTGGTTAAGTTTTTTGATATGTTTTCATTCAATTAAATTCGACCCCATAATACAATAAATCACATCAGTGGTATCAGTGCAAATTCAATTATAGACGCAAATTGTAAAAGTATGTCTAAATAATTAAAATGTATCTAAAAAATTAAGAGCTTCCTAGAAAGACTACTGAGCACATAATTATATATCATCAACATTTAGGCTTTTTTTCCTAATTTATTCAACTAATTCATATTATTCAATTAATTTAAATATTACAAATTAATATAACACTAAGGATTAATTGCGAAAGATTTGTACTACCCATAGGTTGAAATATGCAACCCATTATTGAAACCACATGTATCTACTTTTACGTTCTTCATAAAATTATGCACACTGCGGTTAGCATATTTCTTTATGTTTTCTTCTGCCCAAGGAATGCCTTGTAGAACATGCTAGAACTTTAACTTTGATGTATTATATTCGGCTTTGAGAATATGTACTTAAGGTAAGATACTTACTACAGCAGCGCACGTTCATGTGCACTATGTATGGAAATTCAAGATGATATGTAGATTAAAATTGAGGAACATTTTTGTTTCTTAGTTTTCGGGCTAATTTTTTTTTTGTCTAACAATAATTTTTTATAAGAAGTGTATTCAATTTTATTGTTATGTATATTGACAAACGAATGATGAATATAAAATAATTTACTTTAAAAATAATTTATTATGCTTTCAGAGTTTATAACTTTACTAACTTTAGAATCTAAACTAAAAAATTAGTTTGTAGTACATATATTCATAGACTGTTCGCATGTTTCGACAACACTTGTTTTATTATTAGTTTCTTTCACTTTTCTGTATGTGTTGATTTCTATGAACTCCGATAATATCTTTAAATATATGTGGGGTACGGCGGGGCACAATGGTCCATTTTGACTTTGAGCAATTATATTGTGAAAACCAAACTAATTATATCACAACAAATGACATATATCAAATAAACAACTATCTGTCTATGTTCAGTAAAACTCCCATCTATTGGGAGTATTTATCGTTGTAAAAATATGTTTTTCTTTTTTTTTAAGTTTGTCACCTAGTCCTTTTCATTCTATCGACGGTGTAAAATAGCACAACCAGGTGCCTAATAGATCAAATGTCTTATTTTGATTTTAAAGGGATTTTATTTATTTATTTCTTTTAATTTATTTATTTTTAAGTATATAGCCCACAGATTTTATCGAAGAGGACTTAAAAATACATTTATTTTACATAATGGATTTTGATTTGATTAATTTTGCGATTTTGCGAAGAATATTCAACCAAAGCTAAATATAAATTTTATGGGCACATTATTTTACAAATATAACACTGCATATAGCGTTGATAGTAATTCATTAGAAATGATCATCAGCAGAGTTGGAATAATTATTAATTTAATTTATTTGTTGTGAAATTGCTTTTATGGCTCAACTTACTTTTTTATTTACAATTTTTTATTGTTTACGCCTTTTCCAGGGTAAAGGTTTAGTTGGTCCTTTTTACCCCTCCCACGTGTAAGCTTTTATATGGGTTAAATAAAAAACTGTTGAATCTAACTTAAAATTAACAAAACAGCTTATAAAAACAATTAAAGAACATATACTTAAAAATTATATTATTAAGGTCTCGTAAACTAAACAACAGTGCTCACAATTAAAAAAAAACTAATAACGGCAAAAAATACTTTTGGTGCGGACTTTCAAACATTGCCTTTTATCTTCCAATTGCAACGTCGTAGGAATCAAGGTGATGGCTGGTTATACATCCTTTTCCCTCTACTTTCAAATATTGTTTTTAGAAAATTCTTAATTTTACATGTGTTTGAGATATCGGTGGTGGGCCTTCAAGCCCTGCTCTACTCCACATATACTCTGAAAAGAAATAAATAAAATTGATGAAGCTTTTGTAACCTAATTTTATATCTACATTGCAACCATAATAATAAAATATATTTTCTCTGAATTTGAATATTTAATAACATCGACTTATATTCTTTTTTATAAGCTCATGTCATTATATTACAACATTACACCAAAATCATTAAGCAATGTTACATTTTCTAAATTTTCTAAATTTGATTTCTTTATTTTTTCAGAGGGCAAGTTCCGTCACAAGCTGAACTTAGTTATCTGGACAAAGTGAAATGGCTCGATATGTATGGAGTAGATCTACATCCTGTTTTGGTACGTTATGAAAGACTGCATATCACATGAAAATATTCTTTATGAAATTATAAAAGTAATTTCTATGCTATTCTCTTGCAGGGAGAAGATAATGTGGAGTATTTCCTCGGTCTGACACCGAGTGGGATCATTGTTCTGAGGAGTAAGCATACCGTAGCGAATTACTACTGGCCCCGCATAGCCAAGATATACTTCAAAGGGAAGTACTTCATGCTACGAGTATGCGACAAAAACGTATGTTATTATAAACGTCCAAAATTCGTCTCACTAAACAAAAGCATATCCTGGAAAGATCATGCTAAAAATTCAAATTATATTTGAAACCAGTATCAAATGGATGTTGGCTCAAATACAATCACTAGTTGTTATTATCATAAATATAGCTAGCTAATTTCCATAAATATAGCTTTTGTTTAGTAAAATGCGTTTAGGTAATTGAATACTAATTGTATATCAATAGTTTCTCTATAATAGCGGAATTTGCAAATTTTAAGGTATTGCTTTCTTTTAAATTTTCTAGGTTATCAATAAATTTGTAAATACTTAAACATTTTTACAATCCAATACAGTTTTAATTTAATTAAGGGTTTTGGATTAATCCTTTCGCTGTGAGTGTCACCTATAGGCGACATTTGCTTGGCGACCTGTGTGTACGAGTGTCGCCTATAGACAACATTCAGAGTGTCAGATTTGGTTCACGACATATCGCTCTGTATTAGAAATTCTAATTTGTTATTAAGGATTTTATTTTTTAGAATCAATTGTGTTTCTATAATAGCGGAACTTGCAAATTTTGCAGTATTGCTTTCCCTTAAATTTTATAATTGATCGAGAAATTCGTGAATCCTTTTCCATTATACAATTCAATACAATTTAAATTTGATATAGTTCAGCATAGAATTTAATCCAATTTAAATGTCATGAATTGAATTAACCCTTTAGCTACGAGCGTCACTTATAGGCGACATTCGCTTAACGATCTGTGTGTACGAGTGTCGCCTATAGATAACATTCAGAGTGCCGATTTTGCTTCAAGACATATCGCTCTGTATTGGAAATTCTAATTTGTTATTGTGGATTTTACTGTTTAGAATTAATTGTGTCTCTATAATAGTGGAATTTACAAATTGTACACTATTGCCCTTCCTTAAATTTCATAATACAATAAGTTCGTGGATACTTTAACATTTTACAATTCTTATCTATGATACAATTCAATACAGTTTGAATTTGATATATGTTTTGCATAGAATCTTACCCAATTTAAAAGTCATGAATTTAATTAATCCTTTCGGTGCTAGCGTCGCCTATAGGGGACATTTGCTTGACGACCTGTGTGTACGAGTGTCACCTATGGACAACATCCATAGTGCCGACTTTTGCTTAAAGATAAATCTCTCCGAGTTAAATTACTGAGAACTCTAATTTGTTATTGCGGATTTTAGTTTATAGAAGTATAACTTTTTATTTTTAAATACATTTTATTGATATTGGTTGTAAAATCTAAAAATATTTTGTGTAACAAATACTTGACGGCTTGCTGACACGTACAGTAGTGTTACTCAGGGGCAAAACACTGGCGTAGCGAAAGGGTTAACAATGTTACAATAAAACATGTCTAAAAGACTGTCAAAAATGGATTAGTATTAAAATATTTAAAATAAGAATTAATACCTCAAATGATATAATCTAAATTTTAATTATAAGATTATTCAGTCACATTAATGGTATATTAATTTAAATTACAGAACGATTGCAGCACTTATGGCTTCGAGACCCCATCAAAAGCGGCATGCAAACATTTGTGGCGGTGCTGTGTGGAACATCATGCATTCTTTCGCCTGGTCGTGGTTTCACCCACAACACCGGATATATTCGCACTCGGTTCCAGGTTCAGATACAGGTTTTTTATGTTATTTTGTGTTTTAATTTATTATGGTATACGTATCTTTTGTATACTAGTCTACACTAGTATATTGGATTTTATTTTGTCCAAGTATAGGGAGTTTTTCAGATTTTACATTAATTTCCGTGTGGTTTTATGAAAATTAGTAACATTACTTTACATTTCTCTCCTAGATTACTGTTTATTTTGTCTGTTTACTGAAAAACATTTTTTGAGTTAAACGATTATTAGTATATAAATCGCAAATCGCAACAATGTATTTTATTTGCGCAACAAAAGTGTGCAACCAAAATTTTGTTTATTTTTGCAAATTTCATAAAAGTAAAACGGTAAAACTTTGTTTAAAAATCCATGGACCAGGAGATGAAAACAATATTAATTACTGTTTTAGTCATTTAATCAGTTAACAGTGATTGACGTACATACTACTCATCATGGAGAAGTGGAAGAATTTTGAATATTGATCGAAGAGTATTTGTCTTGCGTATGAAACACTGACCATATGTTATTGAGATTACAATTTTTGAAAACAACAAAATATATCCTAAATTGTCACGATGTTAAGAATATTTTGAGGCTATGACTGTTCAAAATTAGTTTTTGTAAATGGCATTTCACATTAAGCAAGTTTCATGAACTTCTCGTCGAGAAGTTCTCGAAATGTAGAATAATACACTTAACTCTTTAAAAGCTAGGCGAAATAGAGGTGTCTATTCGAACAAACCGGCCGAATTTTTACAAGAGTTTAAAAAAATGCTTGTAAAAACCAACCGATACGCAATATTTACACGATGCACGGAATTGCGTATTGTAGATGAAATACAAAACCACATGCATTGTTTTTTCTGTTTGTCGCTGTTTTGTTTTGAGCCTTTTCGACTGCTTCAAATTTCGCTGTTGGGTCATATTCGAGACTATTACCTGCTAGTATTTTTTATTATCTACCACATGGAAAAACCTACGATCACCACGGGATATGTCCGTGGTTTGCTGACCAATAACTAAAAAGTGTCGGTCTACAAAAGCGCCACAGTTAACTGGTTAAATGTATTTTAAAAGTTTGTTTTGAAAAATTTTGGATGCAGAAAGTTACTTTACTATCAATACAAGCGTGATTGGATGAATCAAAAATAATAATGCTTGACTTTTTAATAGACACAAAAAATTCATCGTTTTCTAGATTCACTAGGTTTTAGCAATTTGCGCTTCCGTGTATATTCGTCTTTAGACTGCATGCGAACAGTAACATTTTCTAATTTTCATTCGACATATCTCCTTTTGTCTATTAAGTTGCCCCCGCCTCCCAAGCCGTAACCTCTATCGTAAAATCTCTCTCTTGCAATGGCCTTTTATTGTCACATGTCCCATTACTATTCCTACGCGTAATAAACGTCTTAACAAACGGCGAACGGCATGGATTTAACGAGACAAAATTCTTGTTCTACTTTATACACCTTTATATAGGTGCACGTGACTATTTTGTTATCAACTGTTTTACTGCTGAAATAAATTACAAATTGTGCAACGCTTAATACCGCCGAGTGCGTTTCATCGCCTCCTAGACAATTGTAACTTTATAATGGTGTTTCCAATTGGATTTAATAGATTTCAATTCGCACTTGTGCTCTTCGGAATAAATAGCAAATAGCGCTCGGTTTTCAAATCAAAGTCAAATCTTTTGATATTCAAGAATAATGATACAATCAAATCATATTTTTCACCAAATTACATATTTCACTTCACGCGCCAGTCTTATTTTAAACCCAATTTTGTATGAGGAAGAGCGAGGGTTAAAGGTCCGCGGGTAAAAAGGTCCACCACCGATATTTCAATGTCAATTTTTTAACAACAATATTTAGAAGGAAAAATATGTATTGCCAGCCATCGCCTTGATGGCTGTGATTTTACGATGAGACTTTGAAAATCCATAATAAAAGTATTTTCTTTCGTTATTTTTTTTATTGTGATCATTGTTATTTAATTTAGGAGACCTTAATATAGTTTCTAAGTATACGTCATTAAAATGTTTTATAAGATGCATTGTTAATATTAAATTACATTCAACTTTTTTTTTATATAACTTCTATGAAAGCTTACACGTGGGTATGATAAAAAGTACCAACTGAATCTTTTACCCTGACGAATGTGTGAACAATAAAAATAGTAAATATAAAAGTAAATCAAGTTAAAAAAACAATTTTACAAGAGATAAATTAAATAAATAGTTATTCCAACTCAGCTCTTGAATATTTCTGACGAAATGCTAATTCAAGGTTATACACAGTATTGTCTATTATTTTGTAAAATCCGTTCAAAACTAAAAGTAAGAAATTGGATCTGTTTACCATTTGGTCGTTTTATTTTACGCCGCCTATGGGGTAAAAAAGATCAGATGACAAATTTTTGATAAACGGCAAAAAACTCATTTCTACACAGATGAATTAGCTGGGAGTTTTACTGAACATGGTCTGATAGTTGTTTGATATGTGTTATTTGTTGTGATATAATTTGTTTGATTTTCACAATGTAATTGCTCAAAGTCAATTGAATCTTTATGTCTTAACCTATATGAAAATCATGAATTTTATTTAATAAAAAATATATTATGAATCTGCTCATGCTCTTCGCCTTCTTCATAATCTTTTTCAAAGATTTTTTTTACATTTTTTTTCAATAACATTAGAGTATGTACTTCTATATTTGTCTACGTATTTTTCTGTGCTTAATGTACTGTTATGATATTTATAATATACAGAATAATATATATTACTGATGAATAAATAATAACTAAAGCAAGGTGAGCTGATTTTTTCTCATCGTAAATATTCGCTTTGAATAAATCTTGATAAAGATTACGATTTTTGCTATGGATTAAAAGTACATGGAAGTAACTGGAATGTAATCCCGAATGAAAGGTGCGCATTGAAAGCTCACGGTGCGATTTCAATTCCCATTTAGCATTCAATTTATTTGTTCCTTGGTTTAGTTATTTATACAAGACGAAACGTTCGAAACAAAGTGACGTGCGAACAAAGGACGTAGCATCTAATGCATCTCAACTTGCATTTCTATTTATACACAACCAGGAATACATTAACAAAATTAATTCGTCTGTCCTCTGCAGTGCTATGCCACTATATCGTTTGCAGTCAAAATTGCACCACTCTAAATTCCGAAGCTGAATCTTTCATATATTGCTGCTTCATTAATTAATTGATTATTTGAATTATGCAAACACGTTAAAGATGTTCTTTGGTTCTTTTTTAAAAAAAATCTTGAAATAACTAATTGAGTTTTTCAATCCATCTACTATGGTAATTGATTTTTTTCTATTATCCTGAAGCTTTTGGTGATATTTGAATTCATAAAGCAACATAATTCGTTACATTGTGAGATGAAACTAATGATGGCGACGTACCTTAAAGCAAATTTCTTGAACTTTCCGCACCGTAATTCAATTTATCTTTTATTTTTTTTAATTTATATTTTTTTTCAACGCAATCGCGCTTCGTAGCTGTTTAGAGACAAGGTATCTAAGCGCATAAACCCCGCATCGTAGTCTATCGATTAAACATTATAAATTTTGGTAAGGAACCGATAGAAATTAAATAAAATTGGTGCTTATTATTAAAATCTCTATAAAATATCTGGTGAAATGCCAAATGACATTTTATCCTAGTTTTTTTTATTGAATCGGATGCTCCGTTCGCTCAAAGAATTGAATTACCATTTTTGGCACTTTTTGATCCTCTTAGAAACTGGTGGAACTACATTTTCCAAAAACGAATCAGCAGCACGTCTCCCCATCAATGGGAATCGAATTTTGAATCATTCAAATCGGTTGGATCATTCAAATTGTGGACGAAAATGTGTGTCCGAACATACATGCATGCATCCGTACACATGTCCACATACATACACGCACACACACATACGTCCATTTTTTCTAAGATATGCCAAAATGTTCAGAAGTCCTTAAACGTGAACATATGCAAATAATTTTATTTGCGATTGTTTTTTCGATTACTATAACTTACCCTACGGGAAGTTCATAGCGCACTTATAGTTTTATTTCATGTCCCTTCATGTATATAAATATTAAACACCATTCTCTGTAGTTATATATTTTTTACAAGGCGCTATTTTAAAGTGTTTGCAAGAATATACTTATGAAGGAAAAACATCTCTAATAATAGAATACAAAGTACTAGAGGATTTGTTTGGAACGCTGTTACAAATAACAACAAGAAAAAAACCTTACCTTTCAAATATATATATATATATATATATATATATATATATATATATATTTGAAAGGTAAGGTTTTTTCCTTTGTGTGGAAGATTAATTATATATATATATATATATATATATATATATATATATCACGGCTACGCTAAATTCTAGAATACTTTTACAACTTTTTCAAACTATTTCTTCGACTAAATTATTTTTACTCGTATATTCTGTAACGTGATATAATGTAAAACTTTATATAAAATGTATGCAAAAAGCAGAAGTTTTCTGAATTTATAAAGAAATCTTATTCAGTTACGCTAAGATATAATGTGGTTTTTATTATGTTCATTTTTAATCGAGCACCTGCTTATGTAAGGATTCTTATTAATAACTGATTGAATGTTTTTCAATTAGTTTTATATTGGAGAAATATATTTGTACCTGTTTTTATATCACAATTTTCCATTGCTATTATTTTTCTGTCTACCATAAAAATAATATAAAAATGCAAAACAAGGCGCAGACGTTTTCTATGGTTTCCATTTCTACAATTAATTGATACAATATGTACTAGATCGATGAAAAACATAGCCACCGTTAAATATGACATTGTACATGCTACTAAAATGCTGCTAAAATAGGTTCAGTATTTATTTTTGCTGCTTAACAATAGTATAATTTATAAATTTTATTAAAATGGAAGAGAAAATATAACATATTTCAAATAAGGTTAAGGTTAACTTAAATTTAAGTAAATT